GATATGCACTTGTGGGTATTGGGAAGAAAAACTGGCCCTAGCAGGTGGATAGAGCATTGGCAAGTGGTCTGAAGGGTCCCAGGTTCGATTCCGGCCAAGGGCACATGCCCTGGCTGCGGGCTGTGGGGGGTAGGAGTGTTCATGCATATGCATGTGTTGGGGGAAGTAGCATTCTGAGTGGCAAAGGGACCTGGAGGTGTCTTTTATTGGACACAGTCTCACCAGGAAGCCAGACTTCAAGCTAGGCCAAACAGCCTGACTGGCATGGCTCAGTGGTTGAGCATCGATCTAGGACTCATACCCAGGTTTCGGGCTCAATCCCCAGTGTGGGACGTGCAGGAGGCAGCTGATCAATGACTCTCTCTCATCACTGATGTTTTTCCCTCTCTCTCTCCCTTCCTTTCTGAAATCAACAAAAATACATAACCTTTTAAAAATTACAGCAAACGAGTGGTAGAAATGATCAAGTGAGAGGGTGGAGTAAATTTTGTTCACTATGCAGTAGTGGTCTCACTGGGTGAAAGCTCAAAAGGGTGAAGATAAGGCTGTGAGCGAGCACAGAAGAGGGAGGGGAAAGGAGAGGATCTGGCCCACAGTCAAAATCGTGACTACACAGGACAAAGGAAGCAGGAACTGTGAGGCAGGCTGTAGACATGAACTCTCTCTCGGTTTCTTTCTTTAAAATATTGACTGAACTGTTTTGCACGTGATCTTCAGCTGGTTTTGGTACAAAATCTCTGTCCCCAGGGGGAGTGATGCACACGTGGGTGAGAGTAATTGCAGACCTTTCGAACTTTACACCCCAGTTAGATCAACTGAAGTACTGCTGCCAAGCCTGGGGAGTTGGTAATGAGTCCAGGCAGAGCAGTACAGACAGTAAGCGCTGCAAAACAAGATTCTTTTGGCCTCGAGAGGCAAGTTGAAGCAGGTTCCTCCTCACCCTCTCCAGCGCCTCTGACTCGCTTTAGCACAGCTCATTCCTCTGCGATACGGAAGGGCTAACAGTTGCCTGGAACTCCCTGTCACTGACCTAGTTGTACTGATTCACGGTTAAAACCTCCCTAAAAATTGCCCGCCAGCATGGCTCAGTGGTTGAATGCCGACCTATGAACTAGGAGGTCACGGTTTGATTCCCAGTCAGGGAACTTGCCTGGGTTGGGGGCTTGATCCCAGCTGAGGAGTGTGCAGGAGGTGGCCAATCAATGATTCTCTCTCATCACTGTTTCTATCTCTCCCTCTCCCTTCCTCTCTGAAAAAAAAATATTTTTTAAAAAACTCCCTAAAAACTAATGAAAGACTGTATTTGTGAAGAAAAAGCGCAGAATAAAGAATCCGCGTGTATCCATTACTAGCTTCAACAGTGTTCAACACATGCCAAATCTTTTTCACTACCCTCCGCTCTGTATAATTTAAAGTAAATCCCACGCATGATGTAATTTTCTATCATGAGTAATATTTTTAAATACCTCTCTCAAAAAACTAGGACTCCTTTAAAAAAAAACACACAGTATCAATATCACACCTACAAAAATTAACAATCTTTCTTGAATGTCAAGTATCCAGTTGTCTTATAAATGTCCTAAGTGAGTTCTAAAAATATTTTAGACTTTGTGCCAAAAATAAATGTAAAGGCACCAATGTGTTATATAATCAGTGGTATAAATAAGAAGCCACACGACTTGTGTGAAGGCCAACAACTTCTGCTAGTAAACATGTATACCGTGCTGACTGGGTATATTTCGTGTACTGGGCCTTTAGCACTGCTTAAAGAGCTCTGCATATAGTAACTATTTAACAGGTGAATGTACCATTTTATAGATGAGGAAACCGAGGCCGCCCAAAGAGTTTACATAACACATCCAAGGTCACTCAGCTATTCCAAATGTCCATCAGTTGGTAACAAACCAATGGATAAAACGTGGTTTATCCATTCAACTGAAGATTATTTGGCTATAAAATGAATGAAGTACTAATGCCTGCAACAACATGGATGATCCTTGAAAACATTATGCTAAGTGAAAGAAGCCAGACACAAAAGACCACAAGTTGTATGATTCCATTTGCATAAAATGTCCTGAATAGGCAGAAAGTAGATTAGAGTGCTTGCCTAGTCCTGGGAAGAGGGGTAGTGGGGATTGACTGCTAAGGATATGGGAGTTTCTTTTGGGGGTGATGGAAATGTTCTAAAATTGGATTGTGGCACTGGCTATACAACTATGTTAATATCCTAAAAAACACACACCGAATTAAACACTTTAAGTGGGTGAATTATATAGTATGTATATGAATTATATCTCAATAAAGCTGTTTTGTTTTGTTTTGTTTTGTTTTTTTAAATATATTTTATTGATTTTTTACAGAGAGGAAGGGAGAGAGATAGAGAGCTAGAAACGTCGATGAGAGAGAAACATCAACCAGCTGCCTCCTGCACACCCTTCACCGGGGATGTGCCCGCAACCAAGGTACATGCCCTTGCCCGGAATCGAACCTGGGACCTTTCAGTCCGCAGACCGATGCTCTACCACTAAGCCAAACTGGCTTCGGCATAAAGCTGTTTTTAAAGGAGTAAATTATCAGTTTCAAATTTATCAAACCAGAAGTATTTATTGACCACCTAACAGGCATATACTAAGTTCCATGTAAGTTACAAAACAAGTTTAAGACACACACCCTGATCTCATATTGCTTGCAGTTCAAGAGAAAAGGCGCACACACACAGCGTATAATAATGCACTTTTGCATTATGAATGTGCATCTTTTTTTCGTAAGGGCAGTTAACTATTCGAACCTGGCTTTCTGATTCAATTAAAAAAAAAAACACAAAAAAACAACACATTGGGCTCTAATGAACATACAACTATGCCAAGACCAGTCCTGTTTTCCTCGCCCAGCAAGGGCCTGCAGAAGTCATGATTAACCACAGACTTCTCTTGTGAGAGAGTTACCTGTAGGATTCTTAGGGAGCTGAGGCTGGATCTATTCATCTTACAATGGAAATAATTTGAGTAAATGTTTCCTAATTAAACAGAGGCCAAAACAGCTTGGCAATTCTAGGCTGGGCAAAGGCCCCTAGGCCTGAGTCCTCCTCCCTGGATTTAAGAATGCCCAGGGTAGCCCAGCCAGCATGGCTCAGTGGCTGAGCATCGACCTGTAAACCAGGAGGTCACAATCCTGGCTTGTGGGTTCGATCCCCACTGTGGGGCATGCAGGATGCAGCCAATCAATGCTTCTCTCATCATTGATGTTTCTATCTTGCTCTTCCTCTCCCTTCCACTCTGAAATCAATAAAATATATATTTTTTTAAAAGAATGCCCAGAGTAGCCCAGCTGGTGTTGCTCAGTGGTTGAACACTGACCTATGAACCAGGTCACAATTTGATTCCCAGTCAGGGCATATGCCTGGGTTTCAGATTCGATCTTCAGTGTGGAATGTGTAGGAGGCAGCCAATCAATGATTTTCTCACCATTGATGTTTCACTCTCTGCCACTCCCTTCCTCTCTGAAATCAATTAAAAGAAAAAAAAAATATATATATATATATATAAAAGCCTAAGCGACTGAACAACCAGTCGCTATGACACGCACTGACCACCAGGGGCTAGACGCTCAATGCAGGAGTTGTCCCCGGTGGTCAGTGCGCTTCCACAGCCAACATCCCGCAACCGGCCAACCTCCCACGGTCCCTCCCCCCCATGATTCTTACCCCTGGCTGGCCGGCCAGCCAGTCCCAATTGGCCCTGATCGGGACTGGGCCCCAATAGGTAGCCAGGTAAAGGGACCCCACCCATACATGAATTCATGCACCAGGCCTCTAGTATTTCTCTATATAAAAGCCTAATATGCAAAGTGTTCCCTCAGGAGTTTGACCAATTGGGAGTTCAATTGCTTGCTATGATGTGTGCTGACCACCAGGGAGTGGCACGGAACAAAGGAAGGTCCCGGCTAGCAGACGGCAGCTGCTAGTGACCCTAACTGTGCATGAATTTCGTGTTCTGGGCCTCTAGTTTATAATACAAAGAATGCACAAGGTAAACAAGTAGCACTGGCTGCTGACAGTGTGCTGTTCGGAGGCTGTACACACTGGGCCACCTCCCTTGTCTCTAACTCCAGTAGCAAAGGTCACTCTGCTCTAGATGGGTTTGAGAGCTTTACCAAGCAAACAAGGCCCTCTTCTACCTCCTACTGACTTAGCTACATAGTTCAGGAAATGGAATAGCAACAAAGGTCCTTGGTGAAGACCAGGAGAATGGTGGCCACAAGCACTTGTGTGTGTTTAGAGGAAGGAAAGGAGGCCACAATAGGAGATCATCTTGGGAAGGGACAATTTGGGAATATGAGGCTGCATAGAGTAACAGTACCCCTGAAGACAACTGAAAAAGAGGTCTAGAAATGTGGTGGATCACTTACAACCAGGAAGGTTTCCTGGAGCTGAGCTGGCACCTATCTTAAGTGAATAATGAGGAAACTGCAGCTCAGATTCAAAGCGCCCAGGGATTAAGGGACTTACGGTTTTATGACTCTGTTTTACACCAAGGCTCCTGGGACAGTGCCAGATCAATATCTAGTGACCCCACGAAGCCCAAATTCCATGTAGATTCTAAAGCCTGGGTGCAGATCAAAAAGATGCTTCCATTTTTACAAACATGTGAATTCAGCCAAATTTTCTAACAAGGATATGCATTTTCTGAGATTTTCAGATAATGGTGGCAATTAAAACTTAGAATCCTACTTAAGCTGACAAATGTTCACAGTTTAACATAGAACTAGAAGTAAAACCCTAGTCGATGAGGCAGAAACTCCCATTTTGTGCAGCACGAATTATGCATCTTTTCCTGAATTGCCTAAAAAGAACATTTCATATTTGGGTGAAGTAGCTTGGGCCCAGAGTGGCTTAAGGATTCGGCAAACAACTCAGCAATATAACCCTATCGCCAAGCTGCTTTGATAGCACCACAATCCTATATGAAGTGCAATCGCTAACATTACAGAGGGCTCCTTACCTTTCACGACATCAGCCACGTTGCAGGTGGGATCGATACTTCCAATGTGTTTAGGATGAGCAGGATTTGTGTCATCACCAAACAAAAGTGCTAAGCAAACACAAAAGGAAAGGGAGAGATTATAAACAAAGCAGGCTGGGATGGTCAAGCAGAGAAAAATGGAGGAGTCTTGTGTTTGTAAGAATCATTTTAACACTCACAGTGACTCAAAGTAACAGAATAGAGTAGGGCAAAAGTGGGTTTACAGTTGTATGCGAAATACAAGAGTTAATTTTTGTATCATTATTTATTACTAGAAGCCTGGTGCACAAAATTTGTGCACTGGGTGTGGGGGTCTCCTCAGTCCAGCCTGTGCTCTCTCGCAGTCCAGGAGCTTTTGCTCCTTACTGCCTGCCTGCTCCTGCTCCTTACTGTTTGGCTCACTGCTCCTTAGCGCTACTGTGGAGGCAGAAAGACTCCCACCACCGCTGCTGCGCTAGGCAGCCATGAGCTCGGCTAAACAGTGCTCCCCCTGTGAGAGCACACTGACCACCAGGGGGCAGCTCCTATATTGAGCCCCCTGGAGGTCAATGTGCATCATAGTGACCGGTCATTCGGGTTGTTTGCCATAATGGTCGCTTAGGCTTTTATTATATAGATTGTATCCTTTTCCATATCGACAACTGTAAACCTACTTTTGCCTCACCCTGAATATATGATGATGGGACAACGAAGAAGGAAGGATGTGCTTTAAGACTGGTCAGTAGCACTCAGCAGGTCCTAAAGCAGTGACACATGCCAGGTATCCAATCCCTTCTTCCTGACCCAATGTAACTTGGATGAAAAAACTTCCTTTCAACTTGATCCACCTTCTCCGTACTACAGTGGACATTTAATCCAACGTTCACTAAATAGTTAGAAAACACAGCCTGCACCATTAGGCCAGGCTTATGAGATGTCTTCACAGTGAACATTTCAAAGGCCTCCACCATGGAGATTATTTTTCAATGTTGTATACACAAATGATATTTGTTCAAGTATTTTTTTTAACCCCAAAGTTGTTTTAATTTTTTTTATTGTTTATCCTCACCCAAGGATATGTTTATTAAAAAATAAAAATAAAAATTTGTTTTAATTTTTTTTTATTTTTTATCCTTACCCAAGGATATGTTTATTTAAAAAAAATATATATATATATATTTTATTTTTTATCCTCACCCAAGGATATGTTTATTGATTTGAGAGGGAGGAAGGAAAAGAGAGAAATATCGATCAGTTGCCCGTTGCCTTCCGTAAGCACTCCAGCAAGGGGATCAAACCTGCAACCTAGATATGTGTCCTGACTGGCAATCGAACCCACAACCTTCTGGTGTATAGGACGACACTCCAACCAATTGAGCCACCTGGCCAGGAATGTTCAAGTATTTTTAAAAGTATAAATGCTTTCAAAATATACAAGATTGGCAAATTTTACTTCTGAAAAAAAGCCAAAAGGAGCCCCAAAGGAAAAAGTAATCTAAATTCAAGTGTTTATAGGTGTGTATGTATGTGTGTATATGTGTGTGTGTGTGTGTGTGTGTGTGTGTGTGTGTGTGTGTGTCATCTACTTATTTTTGGTGTAATTATTTTTAAATCAAACAAAAATTGGTAACAACTTAGATTTCACAAAAGGAGAATGCTTAAATAATCTAGAGATGGAGTTAAAATTATAAAAATGCTGAATATTGGCACAAGGCCAATACATAAAGTTCCAACTGATTAAGTGAAAGAAAATCAGAAGTGACAAGCTTAGTCCATGATCTAAAAACATGTTCGTATAGCCTAGCCAGTGTGGCTCAGTAGTTGAGTGTCAACCTATCAGCCAGGACATCACGGTTTGATCCCCAGTGTGGTGTGTGCAGGAGGCAGCCGATTAATGATTCTCTCTCATCACTGATGTTTCTCTATCTCTCCCTCTCCCTTCCTCAATGAAATCAATAAAAATATATATTAAAAATAAATAAAAACATGTGCGTATATACACAAACACAGATTTAGGTCAGAAAAACATTATAGTTATCTAAGTAGTTTAGTTAAATAGTATATAGGTTCTTTTTTCCCTTCAAGTCTCCTATAAATTGTCATTTTTAAAAAAATAATAAATTACCTTTATTGTCATATCATCAAAGTGATATGCTTTGGTTATTGTTGTAAAGAGTTATATGCTTTACTTGTAACTAACATGATTTTTTTCAATTACAGTTGACATTCAATGTTATATTGGTTTCAGGTACACAGCATACATTTCTATTTTTAAAAGCTATACATTTAGAACCAACCCATGTTTATTTTTATGTGCCCAGGCATAAAACAGCTGGCCAACAACACAGGCATCAGCTAGAATGAAATAAGGACTGTGTGCCTGCTTTGCCCCTGATGGATATAAGAGTGACACCATCAATCTGGTGTCTCCTTGCCCATTGCCAGAGGGTCCAACCTTCATGTAATAGTTGTATAACATTCATATATCCAAATAAATAAAATTAGTAAAATAAAGATACACCAGCCATTTTATGGTTCAGTAAAGATGATGATTTAGACTCTATATGTGTGGATGCTTTTTCATAATTGTGAAATCAGCCCAGCCAGCATGGCTTAATGGTTGAGCATTGACCTATGAACCAGGAGATCATGGTTCGATTCCCAAAGCACATACCCAGGTTGTGGGCTTGGTCCCCAGTGTGGGGCGTGCAGGGGGCAGCCAATCAATGATTCTCATCATTGATGTTTCTATCTCTCTTTCCCTCTCCCTTCCTCTCTGAAATCAATAAAGATGTATTTTTTAAATAAATAAAAATTATGAAATCGGGCAAAGAGACAATGCTATAAATAAGCCCTAAATTTTTTTTATGGAGAGAATTTTAGTTGCTTTTTTTCCCTTATCTGCTTATCAGCCTGGAGAGTGGACTAAATCTCTCAGGATTTTGGTTTGGTAACTCGCTTAGTCTGTTTTCACTGATCACTATGACATAAAAGACCAATTGCTCATATTGTCAACATGCCAATTCAATATTCCCAGGAACAATGTTTTTTGAAACCAAAAGGGAAGCCATCAAATATCCTGGATAAAATACTAGAACATTCTCTCAGAGACACATAAAAGTGTTTGGAGATTAATATGGCATCATTAAACCTGGACCTTCGCCCCCATCAGGAATGGGACTGCAAAGGCTTAGCATCAAAAAGCTTTTCAATGACTTATTGGAACAAAGAATACTAATGACTAGCTTTTTAATAGATAGGATTTACTTAGAAAAAACTTAACTAGGAATGAAATTTCTACAGACAAAAATGCAGATCTGTAACATATGGAAGAAATCACTCTGATAACCGTTTCAAATCTGGACCAAAGCCCAACTTACTGTGCTGGTTAATAAGCATGCGGAAGGAGATGCGGTTGGTATAGAAGCGATCCAGAAAATACTGGATGTTACTGCTAATGAACGGATCGAACCCAAACTTCTCCTTGTATTCAATCACTCCTTGTGCCATTGTAGGAACCACATCATTGTGTCTATTTCTGACTTGAATAAGAACTTGTAGAAAGCTGTATGGGAGAGAGAAACAAAAGTAGTCAGTCTTTATATCTCATGGCTGATACATAACCTCCCCAGTTCCATCTCCAGACTACTTACCTTCTGGTATTTCTATAGATAGAGACATCATAATCATTACAGGCACAGTTCCAGTAAAGAAAAAATGCTCAAATACCTTTTTAAGGAATCCACTGACATTTTGGATAAATGATATATATATATGACTAATATACAGTGTTCCCTCAGGAGTTCAACTGGAAGCCTGGGAGTTTGATCGCTCCCTATAATGTGCGCTGACCACCAGGGTGAGGTGTGGAGTGAAGGAAGGCCCCAATCAGCCCTGATCACCAACCAGGCCTAGGAACCCTACCCATGCAGGAATTTTGTGCACCAGGCCCCTAGTTATATATAACAAAGGTTCCATAAATATTTGCTGAATAAATAATTGCAAAGCATATTATTTCTTCTGACAACATGAGGACAATCCAAAAAATTTTCCAAGGATTTATTATGGAGTTCCAAAGCAAAAGGTTCGGACAGTTGGACACTTAGCATATTAGCCTATTTATTCAATATGCTAATGAATAAATAATGACAAACTTTTGAAGAGTAAAATTTTGAAATATATTTCTCATAGCAGTAAAATATAGTGATGAAATATAGATACAGACAATTAAAACAAACCTATTTAAGTATTGTGGTATATTATTGTAAAGATGCAGAGGGGAAATGTATTATGGATCATAAATAAGAAGAGAAAGACAAGTCAATGAAACCAAATAAAAAGCTTGGAACTAGGACAAAGAGTATATGAGTGAGTATATTGTTAAAAGTTAAGCATATCGATTGCAAATCAGCAGGGAAGCAATCAAATTACTTGGGACAGCTGGTTAATAATTTAGTCACAACCCAATTTCTCGCCTTAACCCAAACAGTGGGTTAAGAGATTTAAATGCAAGAGGGCAAAATCACATAAGAGATAAAAGAAAATCAGATGAGAAAGTATGTAACCTTGGAATAAGGAAGGCTGTTCTAAATTTAATACCAAGGGCAGAAACCAGGAAGAAAATTATACGACGAGGTAGAATTTCAGCAATTCTGTCAAAAAACAAGGAAAACTGGGAGAAGTCTATTTGCAAGAGTTACTATCCTTAATTAAAAAAAAAAAAATGAGTCCCCTAAAGGAAAACTAGGCAACTAATCTGGTTATCAAAGGGGAATTACCAGAGAAAACACAAATGCTTGCCACCCCCCCCCCCACATGTGCCCGACCAGGCCCAAGGATTGAGCCTCAAGCAAGGTACGTGCCCTTGACCAGAATCAAACCAGGGACCCTTCAGTCCTCAGGCCTATGCTCTATCCACTGAGCCAAACTGTCTAGGGCCATAATGCTCTGTGTCTCAACTTATCTGAAGGGAGGAGACTTGCCTTCATGGTTCAGTTCTCAGCTACTTCCCCAATCTTCCAGGGCTCTTCTAAGCTTATATATATATATATATATATATACGGCTAATATGACTGTCTGACAGGTCACTATGACGCACACTGACCATCGGGGGGCAGATGCTGAACACAGGAGCCACAGAGCTGCAGTGACTTGGCAGCTGCGGTTCTCAGTGACACACCCAAAACCAGAGAGGAGGGACCCGATTCCTCGCGCAATTCCACCTTTGGCCATTACTTATGTTGTTGCTGGGGCACTATTGGCCCCGGACCTGGTTTACTGCACACTTGCATTTGCGCTCCACACCCTGTAAAACAGCAACTTTGCAGAGTGCCCTCTCGCACTCTGGGACCCCTTGGGGAATGTCAGAGTGGTTTCGGCCTGATCCTCACAGGCCAGGCTGAGGGACCCCACCTGCCAGAGGGACCCCACTCATTCTGCAGACACCAGGGAGGGACTCTGGAGGTGGCTCCAGGAAATGTTGGGTCCATCTCGCACAGTCCTGCCCCAACACTTTCTAGTTAATTTCTTTTCAATGTGCATGAATCCATGCACTGGATCACGTAGTCATTACATAAATGTGCTTGTCCTCTAAACTACTTTTACTCTACTTAAATGACTTCCCTGCTCATGACTCCTATATAACTTCTCACTGAACACAAAAGGCTATTATGAGTAACATGACTCACTTTCACTCCTTTCTTCACTATGGGCCCCAGGCTTCAAAAATCCCAAATATCCTAATATCCTAACTAGCTGCGTGCACCTAGGCAAGTCTCTGGAGCTATTATTACCAAGATCTTGTTCACACTGGATCCGGCACTTGGCAGTTTACAACGCAGGCTCATGACCATAAATCACATCAGACTGACAACCTGTTCCAGAAACTGAGACAGGACTCTGGGAACCACACAGCAAAAAACTGAATATCACATACTTCCATAAATCTGTGTCCTAAAATTCAAAGCTAGAAAAAGGCCAGTCCTAATTTTTAAGATATCAGCCAAGCAAACTGTTATTTGCTAATGACTTCTGAGAAAACAAAGCTTCTGGTTTGGATTCATTTAATTTCAAAACCTTAAATGACAGCAAGAGTTGATAGTAATGCCCAACTAGCATGGTTCAGTGGTTGAGCATGAACCAGGAGGTCATGGTTCAATTCCCAGTCAGGGCACATGCCTAGGCTGCGGGCTCAATTCCCAGTGGGGGCATACAGAAGGCAGCTGATCAATGATTCTGTCTCATCATCAATGTTTCTATCTCTCTCTCCCTCTCCTTTCCTCTCTGAAACCAATACAAAAATATTTTTTAAAAACAAGTTGATAGTAAGGAAAACAATGGCATCTGGGATTCTAACCTTCCTTCCACGTTTCACAGATTCGTTGCACAAACAACTAGCCAAGTATAAAACAAGTCAATATTTCCCCCTTTATATTTTAATTTACAACTAAACTTGACCTAGCTACTCATGGCTTGACCCAGCAGTGCTGGCAGTATGGTACATGGACAAGAACAATGTCCTACGGAAAAGGAAATGTGATTTCCAGATCCAGCTCTACTACTCACTAATGTCATGATCTTGGGTAAGTCAACTCACACTTTGACCTCAGTTTCCCTATCTGTGAATTGATAGGGCTGGGTCAAACGCCTGGTGCTGAGGTCTTATATAACATGTAGTTTCTCTAGTTCTTTTAATGGAATACCTATATGTAAAGTTCTCGGTCTCACAATTTCTATTCAGAAATTCCTTAGCACAACGGGCCTGCCATATGCATTCACTCGTGTGTTTATGAAACAGGAAGAAAGTAATGTGTAAAGGATACTTCATTTTTCTTGAGAGAAAGAGCCACACTCAGAGCTAGGGTTTGTGTTTTCTGGTTGAATGAACATGAAACACAGAAATATTTCCCATCAGCATGAGAAGTTAGTGGTCTTCATGCATAATAGCAGCAATAGAATCAAAGTTGTCATATCAAAAGCACACACTATCTTCTGTTTCTCCAAAATAAAATCATTTTTTGTTTTTCTGCGTTCAAATGTAATAACACATTGAACATTTTTAAACACTGAAAAGATTGTGTAATAGCTTATTGTTACAGTAGAAGAAATGAGCATTGAGCAAATCAAGAACCTGGGAGAGCTCTCGCCAATCAATCAGAAGGCAACAGAGAAAAATATATAAAGGACTTCCTGTTCTTATGCTGAATAAAAGGAGCAAGAGGGGCCATCCTTGTCTTGGTCCTGATCTTAGAAGAAAAGATTTCAGCTTTTCACTGGTCCTTCCTCAAGTGGCTAAATACTAGATGAACAAGGAAGAGCAAGCAAGAGTAGCAGATTTAGAAGACTATAAGACAGATTTGTAAAGAATAGTCAGCTGCCAAAGTACTGGTGGATTCAGGGGTGTGGATGACAGAGGTTACACTGTCATATGTAAAAATATTTTTGCAAAGGATAATTCAAGTATTAGTATACGTTTCAGTGTCACGCAAAAAGTTAATGCTTTTAGTGAATAATTTCAAACATCTCTTTTGCATCACACACTATTAAACCACTTAATCTATATGTAATAGAGCAGACTACAATTTGTGATTATAATTCATCAAGCAAAACTTTGAACTGTCTGTGGTGCTTAATTATATAACCAGGAAGTAGTAATTTTAATGTAAAACACATTTCAAATGAATGATGCAATTAATATCTTAAGTAAATGTCTTTGTAAAATGTCACCAACTCAGATGTAAGGTAACAACATACAAGGTGTCCAAAACATGCACACACTTTAACAGCTGAGAGCTCAATTGATGTTGCTTTTTTTCAGCCAGACTAAGTTTTGAACGAAGGAAATTCATCCTAAATGCCACTTGAAGTTTGGAAATGCAGTTGAAGTACAAACATTGTCTTTATAGTTATTCAAAGTGTGTATACATTTTTGAGTGTACCAACCCCCCAAAATATATATAATATATATACATATATGTATATATATGTACACACACACACACCCTGTGTTTCACCGAATATATATAATATATATACATATATGTATATATATACACACACCCACACACACCCTGTGTTTCCCCGAAAATAAGAGTGTCTTATATTAATTTTTGCTCCCAAAGATGCGCTAGGTCTTATTTTCAGGGGATGCCTTATTTTCCCAGAAAGAAGAATATGGTACACATGTATTGTTAAATGAAAATAAAGGAAATTTATTACCTGTATACAGTACGGTAGTATGGTAGTTGTCAGCACAAACCAGACAAACTGTGAATCCTACAGTATCAAGAATTTACTCATTTATTCAATGACAATCGTGTCATCATCTTCTGGAACATCACCCTAACAATCCAATTCCTGAATTTCCTGGTGAATTTCTTATGACTTCATTTCTTTCAGAATCAGTGAACCAAATCTCTCATGTTTAGCCTGGGGGGGGGGGGCCTTATTTTCAGAGGATGTCTTATTTTCGGGGAAACACGGTGTATGTGTCTATACACACACACACACACACACACACACACTTTAACAGCTGATAACTCAATTTTCACTCCATTTCAGGTTTAACTGATTTGATATAGTGGGTGAAGCCAGACTAAGCTTTGAAGAAAGAAAACTTATCCACTGGACTTTTTTATGGGGATACATAAAAGATAAAAGTTTAAGGTACAAAACTGGCAAGACTTGACTAATTAAAGGTGCACAAATACCAAACAAAATGATTTTTGACGTTTGCTATTCCATTGCTTTACATTATCAGCAGTGCCTGGACAGAACAGTCATCAGTATGAAAAAAGGCATTGACAAAAAAAAATTTTTCATTTCTGTAGATTCTTTTAAATTTTGAAAATGAACTGTATGTTAATAAATATGGACTTTATAATCATTCAAATTGTGTATACATTGCTAGGAGACACTCTATATAATGCAAGAACTTCATCAGTGGCCAGGATTACTAATTTTAAATAGACTACATGAAGATTTTAAGATGTGTCATCATATAATAAAATGAGAAAAAATGTTATCACTGTCACAAGTAGCCTAGTTAACTGTATGCAATATTGCATCTGGACTGTTTTAAGCTATAAAAGTAAAGAATTTATAAGTCTTAATAAATAAATATTTTTAAAAAATACTGTAGCCATAGCTGGTTTGGCTCAGTGGATAGAGTGGACTGAAGAATCCTGGCTTCAATTCCAATCAAGGGCACATGCCCCACTTGTGGGCTCAAGCCAGTCAATCATTCTCATCATTGATGTTTCTATCTCTCTCTCTCTCTCCCTTCCTCTCTGAAATTAATAAAAATATATTTGTAAAAAATACTGTAAAGGACTGAGTAGATAGATTCATGCATATAAAGAGAGCACTGCATTCTTAAAATGACCACTAGGTGGAACATTTACTGCAACATTTAGAGTGAGGCCCGCACCAGTTCCCCATAAGCACAAAAGTATTAAGAATTAGATCATATCATGCTAAGGAAAGTAAGTCAGATGGAAGATGTCAAGTACCATATGCTTTCACTCATATGTAGGATATAAAACTGAAAGCAACAAATGAACAAACAAATAAAAAAAACTAGACACAGACAACAGTATGGTGGTTGCCAGAAAGAAATGGGGTTATGGGAGATGTAGTAATAAAGAGGAGCAAATATACAGTGTGGGTAATGAACACACAATAGAATTTACAGGTGCTGTATTATAGAATCGTACACTTGAAACCTATGTACTTTTATTTAAACAATGTCAAACCAACAAATTTAATGTAAAAATGTTTTAAAGAATTAGATCATGAACCATAATTGAAGTGTCATTATTCATTTTGTAACTATTATACTTTGAACTCAATTTTTAAATTTAAAAAAGGCAAAGTTGAGTCATTACCCATTAAGAACCCTAATGCTTCCATCCAAAGTATACTTCTTGGTTCTTACTGACATGAGCTCCATTCACCAAACCACTTTTTACCTAGACCCGTGGTCAGCAAACTGCAGCTCGTGAGCCACATGTGGCTCTTTGGCCCCTTGAGTGTGTCTCTTCCACAAAATACCACGGCCTGGGCGACTCTATTTTGAAGAAGTGGCGTTAGAAGAAGTTTAAGTTTAGAAAATTTAGCTCTCAAAAGAAATTTCAATCGCTGTACTGTTGATATTTGGTTCTGTTGACTAATGAGTGTGCCAACCAGTGACCTAGACCTTTTGACTTGTAGATGAGTTTGATACCATACTTACTTATCTAAGACCTTTGGATCCTCAGGGCTCTTATTTTCATACTCCAAAAGTTCAAGGAAGCTCTGCATATACCTGAAAAAAAGAAGAACTATTGTGTTAGCTGTCTACCCAACACCCATTTCTCCTTTCCCTTTTTTGTAGAGTACCCCAAATTTTCACTCAAGTAACATCCCTTCCCCTCCCCCAAGAAGTCCAAGCCAATGGGAAAAGCCAATGCCACGCACAGTTCTTGTGTGGCCTGACTTTTCTCTGGGCAATTCTATTTCTCTTGTCACTCATTCCTAATTAGTCTGGTAGTCCAGGACTAAGCCTGTTACTGCGTCACATATCCCTGGACACCAGGATTGGCTCATGAATGGGCATACTGTCTCAATTCAGAAAATTCAGTAAAATAAGAAAGACTTAATGGAGGTCTCTGGGAGAGAAATCAACTTGCTCTGCTGTTGTTGTTTGCTGTGTGGATGTGAAGCCTGAGACTGTTGCAGCTATTCTGTCACCAGGAGGAAATCCAGCCTGAAAGTGAAGCCAACTCCATGGAAATAGGACCTTGCGAAGCTCAAGAAATCTCTGAATCAAAGTAACACCAAAAGCTCATCCTATGGCTGGATCTTATAGTGACAAACAAGCCAATGAATTGTTTCAGCCAGGTTTACTGGATTTCTTACAAACATAACCTAACTGACACACCAAATCTAGAGTTTAATTAGACAAAAAAGTGCACATAAATTTTAAGAAGCTCATGTGTGACACTGAATTATGTGCTAAGAACTTAGAAACCAGAAATAATGAAGGTTCCTTCTCAGAGTTAAACACTCAGAAACAGCTTCAGGATTAAAAATAGCTCCTCCCTATCTGCCTAGCCAGAGTGGCTCAGTAGTTGAGCATTGAACTATGAACCAGGAGGTCACAGTTCGGTTCCCGGTCAGAGCACATACCCAGGTTGTGGGCTTGATCCCCAGTGGGAGGTGTGCAGGAGGCAGCCAATCGATGATTCTCTCTCGTCATTGATGTTTCTAGCTTTCTCTCCCTCTCCCTTCTTCTCTGAAATAAATAAAAATATGTATTTTTAAAAGACTAATTCCTTATCTTAATCAGGGCCAGTATAAGAAATAATATGTCTAACATAAGGATCTAGAGAATACAGAAAAGTGGGACCCAGGGAGACGATTGACTGTAGCAGCTATATTCACACAGGACCTGCTGGATCCAGTGGGAATGCAGAGATTTCAATTACTCGGAGGTGTATGATCTCTGCTTTGGATCTTAACATGTCCTGAAAGAATTATCTCTTATTCCAATTATGTCTAACAATTAATGACACTAATCCTACAAGCCAGCTCTGAGACAGGATGAAGTTATTTAAGCAACCAAGAGTGACCATTAAGCACATAAATAGATAGGAATTACATTTTATTAATCAGCCTCACTTGACCTTTGTGACAATGCATAATATATGTTCATCTCTGGGGATATTTTTTAAGTCTCTGGGCAGATAAAAGCTATGGATAAGATAGTGCTAAAATCATCAGGTCAAACCACCCTGCAAGGCCACTCTTATGAGGGAAAAGAAATAACTAAACACAATGCTTGATCCTGCATTGGATTCCTAAACTGGGGGTAGGGTATTCTATTAAAAAAGAACACTATTAGGATAATTGATGAAATAAGAACAAGTTCTACATATTAGAAAAATATTACTGGATCATTGCTAAATCCCCAAATTTAACATGATGTGGTTTTTCTAAGAGTTGTTCTAAGTAGATACCTATTAAACTATTTAGGCGTAAAAGGGGCATGATGTCTAGCACTAATGCAATGTTTCAGGAAAAAAATAACATGTGCATGTATTATATATGTGTGTGTTATGCCATACACACACACACACACACACACACACACACACACACACACACAGATACATATACACATTTATGTACAGAGAAAGTTTATGAATGAGAATGGTAGAACAAATGTCAAATGTTAGCAATTAGAGAATCTGAGTAAAGGTTTGTAATTGGAATTCTTGCTACTAGTTTTGCAAACCCTTCTGTTAAGTAGGAAGTTATTTCAAAATTGAATGTTTAAGAAAAGAAAAGGAGGAAATGATGTGTTTGTGTTTGGAACAGCTATGGAAAAGGAATGGTGATGAGACACAAAGAGTTGGCACAGTGATTTTAGTCTATACTTTGCCAGCAATTCACTTTGAAACTCCTGAATTACCTTTTAAATAAGTGATAGTAAATATTTGACTGTCACTGCCACCAAGACCTGGGGACTTGAAAGTCATCTAGCTGTCCTAGAACCCCCACCCACAGTAGCCCCAATAGTGCTTATATACTTGCTTTTGGAAATCTTTGATGATGGCCTTGAGCAATAAGGAAGTCTCATGCAAACCTGCTGCTCCTTCTGAAACAAGCTATGCATTTAGGGTAGAAAGCGACTGACTATGAAATCAAAGCCATGGTCGCCATCTCTCCTGGGTTCCAGGGCCCCTGTGCTTCCCACGGGCAGGAGCTGCTGTGTGTCTGGAACAGGGACTGGACACTGGATCTCCTAGACCTTCCAATAGTGTTTCTCAGAAAATTCATTCTCAGCCCTAAGAATGTATTACAATTAATACAGGGTGGACCAAAGTAGGTTGACAGTTGTGAGTACGTGAAGCACAGAGTTTATTCTTGTATTATTCTTTATTTTGTATTGTATTATTTTCCATAGGAACTGTAAACCTACTTTTTGCTCACTCCTATGTCACTGAGGAATGACTATTGAATGGCCATTCTCTTTCAGTAGCCTGGCCTCTACTGACCCTCTCAATGCAAGTTATTTAATAGTCCCATTCTCCTTGGATCTGTCCACATCATTCCCTTCCCCTAAAGCTCTCCCTGTCCCTGTCATTTCAAGGCCCCCATTGAGGGGCAGTACAAAACCACTGGTCCCGCAGCACCTCCTCTGTCCCTGCTTGAGAGCACTTTTTGCACCTGGCCCCCCCCTTATCCCCCAGCTTTCTCTAGTGGCTTCTACCTCGCTTTTATAATCGAGAGGAGGCCTGCCTATGCTTCTCAAATCTATGCAAACCCCTTTCTAAAAATGCACCCGCTCTCCTACATCCTACCACTCACCAACCTCACCCTGCCCACCTAGTCAGGTGTTGACTCGCAAATTCAACTTCCTCAATTCAATAACACATGCTTTAAGCTCAGCGCTGTATCTGATGGAGCTTTGAGCAATACTTGTTAAAATTTTATATACTATTCACAGAGCAAATGCAGCATAGCAAGTAGTGATATTTTTCCAATCCAAGGTCCCTTTAAGTGACTTCATGTTTTCTAAAAGAAGTATTGCCTTCAAGGAACTTCTTTAAAAGGGAAACAATAAGAGCAAGGCTGAGACTTGATGGGAGCAATATCCCCCATCTAGAGGATTGCAGACCCTCATTATTGCATTGCTATTCCTCTCTACTTTTCTGTACTCTCCCATTTTTTAAATAAGCCAACCACATTTATAAGCAGAAAAAATTTGAAAGGTCAAGAAAGTGTCTTGTACAATTTAAAAGCATTTTCAATAAGGCGATTTTAAACTGTCAGTTAAAAAAAGAAATCCTAATTGCCTGGAAAACCCGGCTATCCTGAGTGACTCACTCCTACACGGGCGCTGCGTGCACTTTTAGGGAGAATGGTCCCAATGCCAAATGTTCAGAGCATCCTGGGAAGACCCATTTGAAGGCACGTTATTTACTTACCAACTCTGGACCAATCCCACTGAAGGGCGGTTAAGCAAATTATCCGGCAGAAGATTAACTTCTCTCATGGTGTTAGCCAGACGCACCGGAAGCTCCTTCCGTAGAAACATGTATGACGTTTTTTCACACGCATTGTCTCTCCCTATTCAGAGAAGAAAAAATTTTCATGACTTACAATCTAATAGATGGAATAAATGTTGCCATGGTAGCAGTTACTGGTCAGGAAGAGAAAATTAAGTAATACTGCAACCTCTAAGTTAAATTTTTACCCTCTGAAATAGCAAATTTAAGAAAATAATTTAATAAGCATAGCAGAAGAGCATTTATTCCAAGAGGCCACCTTGAAAGCAATTTTTCTCCTTAACACAAATCTGCCCCTAGTGTTACCAGTGGCGACCTAAAAGATACCTAGGTCCTAAACAGTTTGGTTCAGTGAATAGAGTGTCAGTCTGTGAACTAAAGGGTCCTGGGTTTGATTCTGGTCAAGGGCATGTACCTGGGTTGCAGGCTTGAGCCCCAGCTCTGGTCAGGGTGCGTGCAGAAGGCAACCGATGGATGTGTCTCTCTCACATCGATGTTTCTCTCAGTCTCTCCCCCTTCCTTCTACTCCCTCTAAAACATCAATGGGAAAATATCCTCAGGTGAGAATTAACAAAAAAAAGTGACCTGGGGTATAATCTGGATTTGTTTTCAAATAAACACTGTGGGGAAACTGCCAAGTACAAAAGAAAGAGAATATATTAATCGACTCCTGTTCGGAGGCATTTCCAGAAAGCAACAGATCCATTCATTCCACAAATATTCACCCACTATATACTGAGATTTTCTTCAAATGTGTTTTTTTCAGGGACTAATCTGCCACTCAAGGAAACAGCCACAGACCCCATGGCACCAATTAAAGTGCCTCATTTATTGGTAGCTTCTCAATGATTTATTGGAGAATAATACTTTCAGAAGTTTGTAGTTTTAAAAAACGAGTACCTGAAAAATCTCTAGTTTTGCCTCCTACATTCTAATTTAGCTTTCAAGACAAATTCTTTGTACTCAGATACCATAATTATACATCAGCTTAAATGAGGAATACATCTTTTATACTTAATTAGTGAACCTAAAAATAAATATGAAGTGCCTGATTTTTTAAAAACCTTTCTGTGGTTTTCCTCATATAAGTTAAAGTATTTTATCCTGTATATTAATGCTGGATACTCAGTTTAAATCAAAGGGTTCCAAAAACTTTTTAAACTTACAAAAAAAAAAAAAAAAAAGTCCTTCTGGTTTTAAATGAATGTCCTCTCAAAAGGGTTCTGTTTTTATACGTCTTCTGGCATACTATTTTCCAGTTCTTCTTTCCAGTTATTTGACTTCACTTTTTCCCCACTTCTGCGGCTTTTCTACATTCCTTCATTTTGATTTTCTATTTTTATTCTGCACTTCTCTATTCTATGTTATTTAAATTTACCAATTAAATTATTCCCTAGCATCAGTTCAAAAGATGACAGAGGAGTGGGTGAAGGACGTGGAAAATTCTGCCTTTAGCAAACACAAATTAGTCATTGGCTTTAACACACTCATATTTATTTCTTCAGTTCTTCTTCCTCATTTGATGAGCCTTTCATTCTGTCCAGCTTTCTGTTTGTTCTCCCCACTTTGCCCTTCCATTGAAAAGCTGGAGACGATGTCTACATTTGCAAAAGGTATTATTGGCATTGCCGAGAAAGATCCCAAATAGCTTTCCATTCACCAAGAGAATGAATTAGACATAAAAACACAAATGACTTTCGATTTAATGCAGGGAGCCCTCTCAGTGATGGTCGCCATAAGAAAGGAGCATTTGACTAGCCTTCTGAGAGCAAGAGTACTAGTTCAGACTTATTTTTTATCCCTGGTTTCCAGAGTGACCTGTATTTCTGGTGAATCTTTAATATTCTTTTCGATTAATTTGCAGGAAGAAAAAAAAAGCCCAGTTATTTCTTCAGTTAATGAAGTGACCTTTTATCTTATAGTTAGAGCTGACAAACCTCATAGCCACATGTAGAATCTCCTGTCTGGATTATTTAAAAAGCTATCTTTGTCCTTTAATACTTGGTGGGGGTAGTTTGGGAATAGTAGTAATGGAATGAGGGAATGGAAAAGGAGAGCAACAAATGGAAAAATTATTAGCAAGCTCATTCAAAACCCAACAGAGTGATCAGCTCATTCAAATAATGTTGCTTTTTCTAAATACTGTCAATGTATTTTTGCCATTAACCATCTTAAAATGGATAAATTAACCGAGAAAAATAGAATTTTCAGGGCAGCTCTTTGATTTTTCCTCCAGCTGTAAGATTTCAATCTTTTGAAAACATTGCATTTTGGAACTATAAGTAGTTAATTCTTGGACTTGCCAAAGCTAAACAATGATTAATTGAAGAGTCCTTCAGAGAAACTGCCTGAAGTGTGAACAGAGAGCTATCAAATGATTCTGAATACCCTTCAAAAGAATCCCTTTTTTATTTCATTTGTACTTTTAAAATATTTGCTCCATGTCTAGAAGTACTATTTCACTGCCTGAAAAGTTTAAGTTTTCCTTTGTTTGTAAAAATTTATTCCTGAATATAAAAAGAGATGAAAATAGGTAGCAGATCTGGGATCTACCAAACTTGAGGCTGCTCTCAACTCCAGACCAGGCCTTGTTATTATTCCTAACAGTGTTATTACTGACATTATTGCTAACTGTGAGCCAGAAATTCCAGAGCCAAAGACTGGGGGTTTTGCCCTGCCAGTATCGCTCAGTGGTTGATCATCGACCAAAGAACCAGGAGGTCACGTTCAATTCCTAGTCAGGATACATGCCTAGGTTGTGGGCTCAATTTCCAGTAGGGGGCGTGCAGGAGGCAGCTGGTCAATGATTCTCATCAGTGATGCTTTTCTCTCTCTCTCCCTCTCACTTCCTCTCTGAAATCAATAAAGATATATTTTAAAAATAAAGAAGAAGAAGATTGGGGCGGGGGGTTTTCACATACACCTCATTCCTCATCACATTCAATACCGCAACAACACCCGTATATTACACGACTTCTTTTGGCCCAGATGTTGGGGTCAGGGATTTAGACGGGACACCGGAGAGATGGCTTGTCTGGGACATCAGCTGGGGAAGTGACTAGACCATGGGCAGGGCCAGCAGGGCTGTTAGTATTTGAAGGTTTCCTACTCACAAGTCTGACCCTACAAGCATTGCTATCAGAGCACTGCTGGGTCACCTGTCAGTGGGCTTCCTCACAGCATGGCAGCCTTGGGCTAGTTGGATTTGTTTTAGTAAACAAGGTGGAAGCTATTTGGCCTTACATGACCCAAGCTCAGAAGTCACACAGCTAGCCCCCTTCTGCCATACCCAAATGGTCAAAGCAGTCATAGCCGGCCCAGACTCCAGGGGAAGGGGATTGGACTGGACTCCCCTTCTTGCTGGAGGGCTGGCAAAGGTCCATCATAGAAAAGCAACATCATGGCCATCTTTGGAAAAATGACACCTGCCTAAGATGTTCACAAGAAGGTGTAGATTATTTATTTCTCAAATTACATTTTTTAAATATTTTTATTGATTTCAGAGAGGAATGGAGAGGAAAAGAGATAGAAACATCAATGATGAGAGAGAATCATTGATTGGCTGCCTCCTGCATGCCCCACACTGGGGATCCAGCCCGCAACCCAGGCATGTATCCTGCATGCATGCAGAAGGCAGCCTATCAATGATTTTCTCTTATCATTGATGTTTCTATCTCTCCCCCCTCCCTTCCTCTCTGAAATCAATAAAAATGTATTAAAAATAATAAAATAAAAAAGGTTTTCTTATAACTATAATCAGTCTATTTTAAAAAAAACACACACAAAAAAAAAGATCTCATACATAATGTGCTACTATAAGCAGACCTTTCTGATGGTGTCTGAAGCCTGTGGTACGTACCTCCACGTGATTATTTGTATTGTCACGGGAATCAAGTTTACAGGGTGACTGTGGTCCTTATAATGAAAGTAGGAGAGGGTTGTGGATCCTTCCCTGAAGGGCATCAGAAATCCTGTTTTGAAAGACACACTGAGTGGCCAGATTATGATCTCTGAACGCATAATAATCTGGCCACTCAGTGTATATGCTCATAAACAGACTAGTGAGAAACCCGCCCCAGATAAGGCCAAAGCAAGTTGTAAATGGATTTCACTGAGGGCCCACAATTTGTGCCCACCCCTTGGGCAATCCCCCTGCCATTTCCCCAAATCACTGAGACCAAATCCTGTAGGTCCCAGCATACCTCAGAAAATGGAAATCCATTAGCATGCTTGGCACATGGTAGGTGTTTAATATTTACTGATTAGAACGGAAAGTTAAAATACCTTGTAAGTTTCAGTATAAACTTACTATAGCAAATAAAATTCAGTGGTTCAAGCTAACATTTGCTGGTAATGGTAAATTTCTCTTACAGACAGATCACTGCGTTCTATATACTATTTGATTAGGGGTATTGAAATCCTTAAGAGTTAGGGGAAGAGCCGAAAAATAAACAGGAATTCAATAATATGTTAGCAGTAACTGTCAACCTGATGTGTCTGGCCAGACAGTGAATAGAATAGGCATGAATGCTGAGAACTGACATCACAAATACGTTGTGACCAGCAAGAACATGTAAGTAACAATCAAAGTCAAAGCCACACACAGATCCATATCAACCTAATTCCAGAGAGGGTTAGGATCTAGTACTAAGGCTGGATTGGTGAGTTACAGGATGTCTTGTTGTCATGGAAGCAGGAATAGTTAAGTAAAGGTCACAATGTACTCATCTTCAAGGTTAACTGAGGCAAAATGCTAAGTTAACCATTACAGTGAATGAAAAGGAGCCAAGCCAATTACGCTCAAAGCACAAATGAGCTGAAAGTGCTTTGTTTCTTGGAAAATGATCACTTTTATATAGCGGGGAGCTGCAGCCAACAACCTTTAAGATAATTAATGCTGGAGATCAAGAGCATCCTACACAGTTTTTATTCTTAGCAGAAAGCTGATTTCATTCAGGAAGTGCTGTGTCACTAACTTCCCATAATAAAAGCATAGCCCCTACCACGTACCACGCTCTGTGCTGCACTTCTTCATGTCCTCAGTACAAGCCTATGATTAGA